CAAGAGGTAAGGAACGTGGTAGCTTCTAGAGCCCACATAGTGAGATGCAAAGCATCATATTCTCTCTGGAAACTCTATGGAACTGAGCCCTGCCCACCACTTGATTTCCATGATGTGAGACCTGCCTCAGTCCTCTGACATGCAGGATGGTGAGATAACAGATGTGTATTGCTTTCAGCTACTAAGTTTGCTCTGGCATTGACAGGATCCAGTGCGAGGTCCAGGCGACTATGATAAAGCAAGAATGAGCACTGGGCCACCTCAGGCAAATACTTGTCCTTGCATCAGAGACGCAAAAGCTTTCTCACAGACACCCCAGCAGATTTCCATCTGTTCCTCATGAACCAGAATTAGGTTTTGTACCTACTCTCCACTGTAAGAAAGGCAAGGAGAGGAAGTAGCATTTTAGCTTTTGAGGGGCTGCTCAGCTGGGTCATGATCTGCTTTCCTACCGGAGACACCTGCTTAGGTTCTCCCTAGTCGGTGTCTCCACATGGAAACATGAATGTGTGTGACCTTAACTCTTGTTAAAAGTAAACTCTGTGTGTGTCCATTTGTGTATGATTAGAAAATGTATAGAGTAGAAAGCATTAATTCCTGCTTATAAATTTTACCTGGAAGTAAAAAAATCCACAAATTTTTGATTTCATGACTTTTTGAAGTATATTCAACAAAATCTTAAATTTTATCTCTTTTCTTCTCATGGATTTGATTTGTTATTTTTCTATAATTATAGCTATTTCAAAGTGAGAATTTCATGTTTTATTTTCGACACTTATATCTCCCCTGTGATTTATAAAAGAAGCTATCATCTCACCTATTGAATGAGCTCTAGTAGTCGTCTGTTTTTACAGGACATTTAAGTCATTTTTTTTCCTACATGACTGAGATTTTTTGGCTACTGAGTTCTTTCTATTTATTATTTCATTTTCATTATTCCATTGTTAGAAACAGTATCCACATTCGTTTTTCACTTATTAATCATATGAAGTGAAGAAATTTTCCTTAATCACGCTCTCCTCTACTCATTTTCCGGGTTGCCTTAGATAAATGATGTCATTTGCTCCCCTGTTAGGCACTCATTCTTGATGGTGATGATTCCACTCACTTCACAGCACTCAGAGTTCTGAAGCATCAGATTCTCTGAACCCACGGGAATGTAGAGAGAACGGGGTAATCTAAGGTGCAAGACTGACAAGGAGCTTTCTCTGCAGGAAATATTGCTGCTACACCCACAGCTAGAAGGTAGATCCTGTAGAAGCGCAGCCCCCCTTCTGCCCAGGAGAGGTGGATGAGTTCAGGTTGCACCATCCGGATCCCAGCACCAGAAGGACACTGCACTGCAGGGAAGAGCCTTGGGAACACTGTTCCATGTGTCCATCAACCACCTCCTCTCTGGACCTGAGGGGAGATGACAAAGACAAGGGAAGAAGTAGAAGGTGATGGGGGGCACTCATCTGTCCTGCTCTCCACAGGGGCCTGCCCCAGATCTTATTAAATCACAGATTGTCCCCCTCATTGTTTCTATGAAGAACTGGCAAGGAGTCGTGACTTTTCTTGTGGGAGGGGAATCACACTTATTTTAGTGAGAGAAAAGGCTCCTAGCACTTCCACTCACTGTACTTAACTTCCAGGGAATCATCTTCGAACATTCAAAGTTCGTATTAAAGATGATGTTCTGGAGGAAAAAAAACAGTATTCATGTCCCATAAAATGCCCCTATCTCTGCTGATTGCAGGAAAAGACATAGATAAATCAGCATTTTATTTATTTTGTGGCTTGCCTGTTGGTTGCCTGCCAGATACTCTTTTTCTTCTCTTCTCATTCTACAGGGCTTCTGCCTTGTTTGCTGCAGCACATAATTTCAGTTTCTTACAGGTAGGGTGGCTATATGACTCAGCCCTGGCCAATATTAGACAAAAATCACTGGGTGGGGTTTCCCTAAAGGCTCTTCAAAAAACAAACTCAGCTGATGTATCTCCTTAAGTCTGTTCCCTTCATTACCTTGCCTGAAGTTGATAAACATTATAACTAGAGCTCAGGCTCATATTCTGGGAATCTGAAAACAGGTCTTAAGGTAAAGATGGATTCTGGTCGAATGGGGTCTTTGTGGCATCCCAAGATTACCTAATATATTTAAACTAATATTGTACAGCTTTTCTGTTCCATGCCTCTGTAGTCAACTCTGGGAAAATACTCTGCTCCTAGAGGAAAACCGTCTTCTTCTTCCTGTGCACAGATACCTCTGGATGCCCACTTACGAACGTCTGGCTAAGGTGATATCAGATGTAAGATTGTGATGGTAAATGTTGAAGACCACCATCCAGACTGTCAGTCACTGATGGTTCACAAATGAGTCCCCATCTAGGTTTCTCTTTAAAACAAGTAGATCCACAACATATGATAGAAGTTTCTCAATAGGGGGAAAAACTTGCACAAAATAAATAATTATTGACATTTTTATTGGTGAAATATTGGTGAGGCACCAGACTGCAGCTCTGGGAAGTGGAATCATATCAACAGATCTGAGAACCTCAAGACAGCTCAGAGGAGCCTGGGCCCATGTGAGGTCCACACAGGGAGCTGTCATTTAGGTCTTGAAATGAGATCTGTAAGCCAGGAAATTCTTGTATTGGTTTCTGATGATTTCTTATCACTGAAATTTATTGCAAAGTTAATAGCATTAACTTGGTTTAGCCATTCTAATGGGGAAAAAGGCAAAAGAAAATCAGATATCTTTAGTGAGTGAAAGATACTAAGGCAAGGAAAGCCCAAGAGGGAGGCAAAAGCAGAAAAAATGAATACAGGCAGAACCAGGGAGGAACTGTCACTGCCCACATTAAATTTTGCATTCAGGAGAGACTCTTGCCTCCAAATTTGCATGATAGATTGAGTATGCTAGAAATATCAAATTCTGTGAGGAACAAAGTTGATAAAGTCCTGCCTTTTGGCACTGGACTAATTAAATATTATATTTTTTCCAAGCACCTGATATGTGCCAGGCATTCAACAAATTATAGTCAAGATCTTTACTCAACTTCGGAAGAGGATTCGTTTTTTATTTCCCGTAGTTGTGGACTGCGGCATAATTCATTGGTGCATTCTGTGCTTCCTACCTACCATTAAAACTTGGTTTGACAACACAGATTAGGATAGGAGGCCAATTGTGATGACAAGTTAACCCCCTTTGCATCCTGAGAAAAATGGCATTTTCTATGCAAGCTAGATGTCTCTCAAATGTTATTAACAGGATAAAAATAACCAATTACATAAGCCTTGGATTCGTTTTTTTTCCCGTAGTTGTGGACTGCGGCATAATTCATTGGTGCATTCTGTGCTTCCTACCTACCATTAAAACTTGGTTTGACAACACAGATTAGGATAGGAGGCCAATTGTGATGACAAGTTAACCCCCTTTGCACACCCAATACAGCTATTTACAGTAGAACTGACAAATTTTAAGTTGCACATTATTACTGGAATTTCTGGGTTTTATGAAGATATACCTATTTTTTGGTTTGGAACTTTTATTTCAGTATAATTTAATTTTGTGCTTTATTACGCTTCTCATAAATTTCAAAATACCCATAGATTTCCAGCAACTCCAGCATACTGTTCTGCGTCCAGGAAGCGGGGTGGGTGAGTGGAGGGCTTGCTTAGCGTGTTCTCGGTCTGGGTTCAACCCGGTTTGTGTGTGTGCGAGCGTGTGTGTGTACATAACCAGGCGTTATGTGGTACAGCATACGGTGTAAATTCAGGTTTTTTCGACCGGACTTCGAAGGCTTGGCTGCCCGCTGCTTAGAAAATGAGGACAGTGCTCTACCACAGAGCTTCATAGCAAATGGAAAAAACCAAGTAAGAGTTAGACCCACCGGTACAATAGGAATGATGAGAGCGATCCAAAAGCAGAATCATTAAACTGCATCAGGCTCACTAATTGACTCCCCCACATTAACAGTGAGCAGCCCTCTGGCCAAGTGGGGACTCATTCAATAGCCTTTATCTTTGCATCGCTCATCCAGTCAATTCATTAAAGCCTGTTGCTCTCACAGGGTGCCTTTGGATGAGTTTGTTTCGTTTCTTGGGCTCCTTGGCTCACAGATCTCTTTCACAATGTCCCTGGTTTCTAAATGCTCCGTAAGTACCAGCTGAGCTGTGATGAACCTTTGCAGCCACTGCTTTCACAAGCCTGTCTCTGAGCAAGTCAAAGCAGCAGAGAAAGATGGGACAGGAGATAGGGGGGAAGAAAGGGGCAGAGGGATCTCCGCCTGGTGCCTGCGTTCCCAGACAGAGCCAGCAGGCGGTAGCAACGCTTCAGGGAAGGCCCCAGCCCGGCAGGCGGACCAAACAATAGACCCCCAGTCCAGCGGTGGGCTGGAAAGGAGTTGAGAGGTGGGCGCTAAACTTCTTCCTCCCTGGGCTCCTCAGCCCTCGCTCCAGGCACCACGTGAGCGCACCTTCCACCGCCTCTC